GGAGTTCGACCACTAACACCGTGACACGAGATTTTTATATATTAGATGTACATAGTTTTGTGTGTGTGAAACGCTCAAGTTCTGAATTTTGTTTTTATAAAAGGACAAATTTCTCGTGACGGTGACGTAAATTGGAAAAGCGGCGCCTTTAACGTGGTCTTGGCCTTACCACTCTTACCAAATTTCCGCATATCCTCCAACGCGCTTCATGATCCTTTTTGCAATTTTGAATATGCATAACCTGAAGATAATTTAGGTATTATGTCTTAAGTGAAACCATTCTGAAAGACTGACGCAACAAGGACTGAAAAACGTGCTTCCCTGCATGCTTCCTACAAAGGTGTTTCCTATTTAAAATTTACGGGAATATACTAAATATATGTTTTTATTACCTAGCATTACAAATAAGATTCAATAAGCATTTTAAGTCTACATAAAACCATTTGATATGAACCTTAAATAGATTCCTTAAAAAAGTATGGGTTTTATGAATTACGAAAAACTTTCAAAGAACTTCTTCAAAAGGCGCCCTGCAAAAGCCCTTCTGAAAGCTCTTTTTTGAGTAGCGAAGGCTGAAGCCCAAAAAATTAAGGAGAAAAGAATAACTTTCAGAAAGGCTCCTTAATTATCTACTGAGCACACTGAAAATAAAATTTCGTAAAAGTGCTACGAAAAACTTTCGTAGTCTTGGTTTTTGTACAATGTACGAAACTTACGTTCATATTACGAACGCATTTTTCACAACGAAACAAGACTTTACGAACCATTCGTAAATATAACGAATGGACTTTCGTAAGGCATTTTTTCAGTACAATTTACGAAATCTTACGTTTATTTTACGAAACACATTCGTAAATTACTGAACAAATTTCTGTACGAATAATTTTGTATATCATACGAAGGCATTCGTAATATTTACATGTGGTTTCAAAATATATGAAATCTACAATTCTGTATTCGTATAATTTACTTAATACTTTCGTACATAGAACAAACGCAGAAACATTTTTTTTAATTCGTACAACAGACGAATATTTTCGTACAATATACTAAATTACCGGCAGTTTAATATTTCACCATATTTTTATGTACCCCGTTTCATTGCGAAATTACTGGTTGGCTGCTGTGAGGGGTATTATATAATTTTTAATGTTTTAAAATGGTTTTGCTGGATAAAAATAGGCAATTTCATCAGTTACCTATCAACGGCAAGCCCAAGCCAGGAACAGACACACCACTTAATGAATTTTTAAGTAAGTACATACATAGACGATTTTTCACTGAAACTTGCCGCCCTATAATTTTCCTTTAATTTGTAGTCATCAAGGAAACAAACATCGAAGAAGCTGCGAATCTGTCAAGTACCTCCACATAGAAATACTATAATGTTTAATGTTTAAATATTTTTAAAAACGCTTAAAATGAAGGATAACAAGTAAGAAAGTCTAAGTTCGGGCGGAGCCGAACATTAAATACCCGGCGCAGGTACCGCTACATGGTAAGCCGGTGTGTATCAGTTTTGAGTAAATTAGCATTTCTGAAATTTGCCGTTATATGAAAAGTGGTCGTAATATGAATCTGGTTCCAATAATTTTCAACGTTTTGCTTCTATGTGGCAAGCACAATAATCATACCGAGTTTGGTACAAATTGGTAGAACGGTTACCGAGATACATATATGTGATCATAAGTGGGCGGTGCTACGCCCATTTTCCAAATTTTTGTCATAAACGTATTTCTTGGCAAAGAATTGTTGCAAGCATAAATTTTGAGTAAATTAGCTTTAATATTTGTTGATTTATCGAAGAATTCGTATTTCTCCAAATTACCGTTATATGGGAGGTAGGCGTGGTTATAGTCCGATTTTAAAAATTTTCGCCCATTTGGTATGCTGTAGCAAGACTAACAACTGTGCCAAGTTTGGAAGAAATTGGTGCAGAGATTACCAAGATATACACATGTATCCATAAGTGGGCGTGGCTACGCCCATTTTCCAAAAATGTACAATATTCTTATTTTCCGTCTAAAGGTTATTGTAAATATCAATTTTGAGTGAATAATCTTCAGTAGTTACTAAAATATCGCAGTTTTCGTATTTCGGAAAATTACCGTTATATGGGAGGTAGGCGTGGTTATTGTCCGATTTCGCCCATTTTCAATACCATCCGTCCTACGCATGAAAGAAGTGCACATACCAAGTTTCGTTAAGATGTCTCAATTTTTACTCGAGTTATCGTGTGCACAGACGGACGGACGGACGGACGGACGGACAGACAGACAGTCACCGCTTAATCGATTTCTCTTTTCATTCTGATCATTTATGTATACATTTGTCTATATCTATCTCGATTCGTTTTGTCTGTTACAAACAACCGTTATGTGAACAAAGTTATAATACCCTTGTGCACAAGTGCGCTCGGGTATAAAAACACAATAAAAGTGTTGTGTTATAATTCGTACTATGTTTTTTACAGTGTGGCCAATGAAAGCAATTGCAAATTCTACGAAACAACCGCAGATTTTAGGAAAATAATTTCGTTAAATATACGAATTATTTTTGTGCATTTTACAAAAATTTCGTAAAAAATAAAGAAATAGCACGAAATTCTTTAGTAAATAGTACGAAATTCGTTCGTAAAATGTACTTAAGATCTGATGTCTCACATTTTCGTAGTATGTACGAAAACGGTTTTGTCCAATCAACGAAAACTTTCGTCAAAATGACGAAAATTTTCGTAAGATGTACGCAAGTTTTCGTTATATTTACGCATATTTTATTTTCAGTGCAGTACTTGTGTATGCCCCTCAGCCGTTTACCTGCTCAAAACTTGCACTTTTTCGGCATGTGCCTGAAAAAAAAATTAAGACCAGATATTCAACATGTTAGAAAAAACTTTTCGTTATCAATTTTCGACTACTAATGGCAGAAAACTTAACCCTTTTTTCATAGCAAAAATCTGCTAAAAATTAGAGGAGTGTCTGCATTGACCTTCATTAAAAAACCAGAACAGTTTAGGTGTGGACCAGGACACCAGGACAATTTGTCTAAATCAGGACAAATCCTGGAAAACCAGGACGACTGGCAGCCCTATACTAAAGCCAACTTTAGACATAAGCTACTATTCCATACGAACACAGACATGTACTCTTTAAGCTACCAAACATTTATTACTAAGTAATTGCTATGAAATATGACACTGTAAAAGACTATACCTTATATGTGTATATCAAATTAAATAAACAAATATTAAAAAAAAAAATTTTTGATTAATTGCAAAATTCTACCTCATATTTGTAAAAAAGTGCTGTTAAGGTTTGCGTGACTAGAAGTGTATGTTCTGCAATATACGTTCCTCAAATGCCTATTAATGCAAAATTTGAAATTTTTGATATTGTGGGCTAAAAATGTTCACCGACTTTATACATATTTGCCATCCAGCAATTTTTTTATAATTTGTTGAAAAAATCAAAAGTAAGGTCTCCCTTCCCCATATCATTAACATTTGCTTGGAAATATTTTTTTAGTTTTCTGACAAACGGGAAATTTCGAGTTAATACGCTTTAGAAGAACGTGTGCGAATGTATGTACGTACTACACCAATGAACGCATTAAATACTAAACAAAAGCTCGTAAGCATGTATATGCATAGGCATATATATGTTTCTACATCGTTATTTACTATTCTGAAATTTATCCAATAGCAAGTCGAATTACATAAGGGTGTGGCCTTAAAGAACCAATTGAAATTCAGCTAGTGTAAGGGAGGAGGTCAGCGGTATAACAAAACCTGTTATTTGGGTATTAAGAAAGAAACAGAACTAGCTTATATGGACGGTTGTTCTGCGTGAATATGGGATTGTGATAGCAAATTTTAATGCAGCTTCGTTTCCATTGGAAGTTGACTACAATCGAATGGCAGATTTACGTAAATTAAATTGAAAATGGCAGCTGAATTATTAGGCCAGTCAATGGAAAACATGTGCTACTCCATTGCATTAAACAGTTTACTTTATTTAAGCTTCCAAGAAGTTGGCGCGTCAACGGTTTTAGCACTCATCAATAGTGCATGTACATTTCCGAATTACAAAAAAAAAATTATAACCGTTTTTTATGCGTTTTTTACTGTTTATATTCCGACTTCGTGTTATTAAAACGTGTCAAAGATGCAAGTGTGTTTCAGAAGAAATATCTAATCTATGTTACTTTTTTTCTACATATAGGAAAATATTTGTGTTTAAAACTACAATTAAGAACTGACTTAAAACGGAAAAAAGTCCATGCATTTCTTGAAGTTGAAATATATGTTTGCATTATTTAAAAATAACTAAGCAGTTTCAAATATCTTTTAAAAAGCAATATGGTATCTTATTACAACCCCCTCCCTTATTCTCAGAAGCATACTGCTAGTAATTTGAACTATCCCCCCACACAACCTTGGCAATGGACTGCAAGCTATCCTACACCCCCAAATCATCAACTACTAAACGAGATGGAATCATCACATAGTCATCAAGTTTACTATAATACGCACCACATGTTTCATCCAACCGGCAGTTCTGCTACGGAATGGCATTCTCCCCTATCAAATACCGAAAGCTTGTTGCAAAATGTTCCCAATGTGCAACAGCTTATCAATGAATCGAATGACGCCTCTGTTGTTGGTAATAGCACAACCAGTTCAGGTCGTAGTACTACTTCGACTGGTCCTCCTACGAGTGAAATTACATCAGTAAGCGAATCTAGACGAGGCATTAGTGAGCATCATGTTGCCGAAAGTTTACCATCACCTTCCTTAGGTATAACAGGGAGTAATGTCCCCAGTCCTGAAATTTCCTTAACGACGGCGTCATCACATCGCCCATCAAACAGCATTAATAATAACAGTATAGCTAGTACCACTTACAATCATCACCCTTCTCCAGTAAAGGCACAGTATTACGAGTGGATGAAAAAACCATCCTATCCATCCCAGCCCGCGCCTGGTAAGTTTTTTACAAGAAAACAAAAATATTCTTTACATGAGTACAATTTTCATAGATCCATAGGTATGTAGGTGTGAGCTATAATACATCAAATTCCAAAAAACAACTTGAAATCGGATGTTTTATTTATTATATTTTAATTTATTTATTTATTCCAACACAACAACCTACTGGGTATATTTCAGTGTTAGATACCATATTAACATTTAATCTTAATAGTTGCAATTCACTGTTTATTGACTATTGAGAAAGAGAAAAAAGACGGGACGAAAAACTAGAAAAAAAGAAATGGCTGACAGAGGGGGACAAAATTATTACAATTTATCGTTCCCTTCGGCATAGAATGTAAATAATGCTTTCTTTAAATGCAATATGGTCTTAATGCTTCTGAGTTTAAGAGGGCAATTCTGGCAACTGTCTTTCAACTCACCACAGTCTTTCGAAAGACAAATCTGGCAACTATCTTTAAAGCTCTTTACTGCCTTTCGAAAGACTGATTGAAATATCTGCTACCGAAGAGGTCTTAGTGTTATGTAGGGATGCCGGAAAAACATCGATGCATCGAAAATATCGATGTTTTGCTTCGATGCATCGAAAATTTTCCACTCGACGTATAAATAGTCGATGCATCGATGCACCGATGTATCGATGTACATTGAATCGTCATTCCAGTTTTTCATTGTTCAAAAAAAAAGAAGTGACTTTGGCCAAAAACTTTAAATGGCTGCAAGAAGTTCCGTTAGAAACATAATTAGCTCAGTTTCAGTTATTTATTTCAAATTTTCTACAATTTTGCTAATAACATATTTTGTTGTGAAACATTATCTGAAAAATGCTATGGCTCATTCTACGGTAATCGATACCGAATGAAACGAAAATAAACTAGAGAATATGACTGTATTATTTCTAGTAAGTAAGAGTAAATAAATCTAACTTTCAAGACTGAAAGCCAAAATTCTGAAATTTATCTCAAAATCAGATATTTTTTTACTTTAGGTTGTACCATTTACAAACCCATATGAGAGGTTAATTTTTTTCAAAATTTACAATACTGATTTTCGTAGTCTATTACCTTTTTTGCATTGTTTAAACCGTCAGTGGAGAGACAAATTCGTTAGCATTGTAACGGCGTAATTTTCAAATTTTTCGGGCAAGTGCTAAATATTTTATTATATATTGAAGCAAAGCATATTTTAATGTCACGCCCGTCACAAGATACACAAAATAGTTACTTTTTGAGGGAAAACACATCTTGGACAGTGTAAAAAAGCTGACGAAAATAACGCTATGATACAGGGAAATATGTGCGAATTGCTTTTAAGTATTTATATGCTTTTATTTTCGAAAAAGGACCGATTATGTTGGTCACGCCCGTCACATGTCACACCCGTCACAATTTAAAGTTTGACAAACTTCAATAAATTCGGCCAGGGACTGCTACCGTTACTTATCAGCTAATCTGAAATGTGTCGTATATCTGTTTGTGATCAGCGATGATAAAGCTAATCATAGAGATATGTTGCTCGAGCGATGGGAAAACTTAAGCTATGCTGTCACGGATAAAAATATATCATTACTTCGCTTGTCAGGGCACGGTTTTTTCAGGTAACGGCCTCGGTTTGACAGGTAATAGCCTCATACTGTTTAAAAATAAGGTACTTTACAATTACTAAACATACAATGGAGAAGAAGAGTCCGATCAAGGATTATCCCGTCTTTAGGTGGCAGAATCTTATATGTGTTCGTAAAATCCGATTTTTTGAGAAATAAAGTTAGCTTAGTTGTCTAATAATGTGTATTTATGTATTCATGCTCAACTTGTCACACCCGTCACAAAGCGGCAAGCAACTTTGGCGTAAATGTTGAGAATGTTTATTTAACTATACAACGAACTACATATTTAAAACCATAAGCAGAAGACATTATTAGCAGAAAAACTCTGATGCAAGTAAGGAGTAGTTAATTTGGTTTGCGTGCTCGTCACACCCGTCACAGTGACTAAAATTCAGATAACTCGTTCGGATTAAATTGTTTTTGGAATTTTTATTCCAGGCATTATGTATATCTCGGAATCCTATTACAAAATACTCGTTTTAAAGAATTTAGTATTACAGTTTAAGAATTAACCCTTAAAATGTGAGTTGAAATGTCACACCCGTCACCGTGAAATGAGCCCTATGCAAATCGATGCATCGAGGTATGCCCTTCGATGCATCGAAAAATATCGATGCACATTTCGATGCATCGAATCAAAGAAAAACATCGACGTATTTTTGCCTCTGACATCCCTTGTGTTACGCTGTTCGGCTTTTAGCAATCAGGTTTTTTTTAAATTAAATTAAATTATAAAACCATACATTTCTCGTTTTTACACCAATTAGAATTAATAAACAAAAGAAAATAATATTAGAAAAAGAAAGAAATTTAATCAAAAAAGAAGGAAATAGTACTTAAAAATTAAATTATATTAAAAATATTTTTATTAATAAAGACTACAAAAAGGCAATTAAAAAAATGTTAAAAGATACTAAAAAGTTAAATGAAATAAAAAAGTATATTTTCTTTTTAAAACAAAAAAGTTTAAAAGCTAAAAGAAAATGAAATTAACAAAGGAATAATAAGTTAAATTAGAATAAAAGAAAAATAACTGAATTTCTTAAAAGTAAATGTATTTAAAAAATATATATTTCTCCTTTTTACGTAATAAAATCTAAAAATTAAAATAAAAACTAAAAAAAAGAATATGTAAAACTGAATAAATAAAATAAGTTCCTAAAAATTAAATGAAATTAATAAAATATTCTTTTGAAAACAATAATCAAACCATTCAAGAAAATTAAATTAAGAAAAGAAAAGCAATGCATAAATCTCTAAAAAATTAAATTAAATTAAAAATATATTTAAAATAAAATAATCTGAAGAACTGAAGTAAAAAAATGTATTAAAAAAAATAAAAAAAATCCCGCTGCGATAGGGCTCGAACCAGGGATGAAAAATGGAAATTTCAGATTGTACCTAATATCATAAAATAAATGTACATAAATGAGACAGATTGTACCTAAAAAAAGTTACATCATCCATTTGTAGTCTTTTTTTACAAATTTTATTTAAAACATGAAAACAAAAGATGAATGTACATACTTTAAACATGATTAAGTTTTTTTTTAACTGAGACTATATCTATAGATTATAGTCTAATGGGAATCGGAGAAGTGTTTTTTGTCTAATTTTGACTACTGAAAAGTATTGACGAAAAAAACAAAAAAACACACTTTGCGAAGTATACTTTTTTACCCAGCTTTTTATAAAACAACAGGAAAAGTCTGCTAACTTATCCGATTCCTTTTAATAGGTGAGAAAATAATCAAATTGCCGTAAGTAACTTCGAAAGCATTTTAAATATATTTCCAGAAAAGCGAATATGGGTCAAATAGCTATAGTTCTTATCTAAAGAAAATATGAAATTTTAAGACATCCTAGACACTGGACTGTGCTTCCCTTCCATATGAAATGTGGGCAAAAATAGAATTATGGACGGATTTCAATGAAAATTTGCTTCTTAGTAAAATTGAGGACGATAAATTCAAAAATGCAATTGGTTTTTGGTTAACTTACATACTTTCACTGTAAATGCAGTTTGAAGTTGAAAATTTGGGTTATTGTGGCTTTTACATAGGTATGTACATATAGTTCGTTCTATTTTCAAAAGTGAGGCGTGAAATGACAGGGCTTGGCCTGTAGATGTGCAATAAAGTTTTTAATTTTTGAAAAGGGTTGCCACCTGCTACAAATTTTATTAAAATTATTCAATAAGTTAAATGAATTAGATATTAAAATATGGGTATCAATTGAACTAGTTTTGAAAATACTTTACCTGTAAATGACACGTAGAAAGGTTGCCACATGTTTAAAGAATCAAATTCACCTTAATTAAGGGAATAAGGTAACTGAAATATGTATATCAATATGAGTATAAGACAAATGAAAAAATTTGACATATTTAGCAAGAAATAAATGGAGAGTAACAACATTCTTGAGTTAATTTAAGAGTCCAGTAATTTAAAGGAATGTAATCAGAACAAATCACTGATTGACAATGTATGTATTTGTACTAAAACAACAAATACGATGGCGTAATCCTATGGTTTGACTTAATTATTATTTTATTTTAACTAAATTCGACTTTACAAACAGGTGGCAACCCTATTCGTAATATTTTTAGGCTAAAACCTTCTTAAACCTCTTTCGTCTGACTCCCTTATGGTGATACCTATCTATTTCAATTACCTAGTTCCTTTAATTCAAGTGGAATTTGTTTATTTAAACAGGTGGCAACTCGCTGCATGTATTTAATACACACTTCGATTGATACCCATATATAAGTTTTTAACAATCTAATTTTTTAACAGGTGGCAACTCTTTACAAAAAAAATAAACCTTCTATTGTCCACAGGTCAAGCTATTTAATCTGACACTTAAATTTTGTAAATGGAACGAATTGTGCAGATGTCAAGGCACTGTCAAAAAATGAAAAAATATTTTATGCATTAGCGAAAAACGCATTACTTCAGAAAGTGCAAAAACTGAGCAGGTTTTTATTTCTCCTTTTGAAAGCTAAAAGCCTGTACTATATAATAAAATAATAAGAAATAACATATTTTTACATATATTTTTTATTCATTCCATTAAAATTTAGCATTTTTGGAAATTTTGTTTAAAAAATCTTTTTTTTTTTTGAACACCGCAGGGACACCTTGTGTTTAATTTTATCCCAAAATTTTAATTCCTGTAATTCTCTACTATCTATATGGAAACAAGAAATGTCGAAGCAACATTTTCTTTTAAAGAATATATTTTTGACATTTTTTTCTGTGAAGAGCTTACGCCTGGCTATGCTTTTATTAAAATTCTTAGTATAAAATTTGTCGACTTTAGTGGCTTGCTGGCGGCATATAATTATTATTTTAGGGAAATGTCTGTTTAATTCTTTTTAGTGGATAAATTGTCTTTACAGAAATACCAAACAAGTTCACATTGCCGATAACGAATTTTTCGATTTATGC